CCTCACCTGGGACCCACAGCTCTGAGCTGTCTCCTAGGAATCTAGGATTCAGGTTCAGACACACTCACTCTGATACTGTGCTACTTGGAGTGCAGGCATCACAAACATGAAGTCTGCCATCATCTCCTGGAACTGGATTCGGAGGGTGTGGGGGTCCTCGTTATCTCCCATGTACTCCTCCATCAATAGGTCAGCACATTCGGCAGGCAACTTCATCTAGTCCAGGTGACCAGGGAGAGTCAGGTTAGGCAATCTCTGGGGCAGGGAGGCAGGATCTAAAGGATAGGGATTGGTGTTTGGGATGTGTCTGGGAATAGGGCAAAGGTGTCAAGCTGTGCTGCCCCACCACAAATGCACATAGAACTATCTTTGTTCCTGGGGATTACTGAAAAGGAAGAGTGTCTGGTTGCACTCTGCCTGGTGCAGGATCCCAGAAGTCTCACCATCTGTGCTGATGTTCTCTGCAGAACAGCTTGCGCTGTCTCTCTGTCTATGTCTTTCTGGATTTCAGGTGGGCCCAAGATCTGTGTGGTGAAATGATAGTCTAGAGTTGGGGATGGGATATCCAGGAGGTATGAAGTCTAAAGCTGCTCCCACCTGACACTATCATGAGGATTTTGTAGAGGGGACTCACCATGGGAATGATCCAGCCATACTCATCATTGTTGACACCAATGATGCTCGGAACAGGTTGAAAATCAGCAGAGGCCAGAAGTTCCTGGGGGTGCCTGGGTAGGAAGGCCCCATCCACCACAGCAGGAATGATCTTGAAGGGCTAAGGGGGCACTCAAAGTCCATGATTATGGGAAGAAAAGTCTCTTTTCTAATGACTCCAAAGTTACCTCCAAAGCATCCTAACTAACTCATGATGCATTCATAGATTCTATACCTTGTTCAGCATATTTTTATATCAATTCCCATTTAGGACTATGAGGATATAAGAAGACCAAGCCCTGGAAATGAGTTCCTTCTTCCACAGTAGAAAGCACTGTATTTTCCTTAGACCGTAACCCCTGTCTCTCACTAACATCCATTCATCCTACCTTGGTAATATCCAGCATTTCCTGTTCACTCTTGCCCCTCAGGCAGCTCACCAGGGCCTCTGACTCTACTTGCCCACAGGCAGACAGGTTGGCCACCATCTGTAAAAAAAGGGCAGTGTTGCCTAAATCTTAGCTCTGTGCAGGTTGCTCTTAATTCTCAAAGTGTACCCTGTTATACTTCTACAGATGTGAAATTCTTCCACCTTGCCTGAAGCTCAGGTGTCAGCCAGAGGAACCATCCTGCTTATATGGGCCTTCTGAGGAAAAGGACCTGGGTAGAGCTTTGCAGAACATAGAGCAAAATCAAACACTTGAGGCAGAGGTGTGTGGATTCTGACCTTTGTACTCCTCTGAAACCCTGGGGTGGTGGCCAGTCTCAAAGACATCTGCATGGTCTTTGTTACAATGGAACAGACAGAGTGGCAGAGGCCCTGAAGGTGATGGGTGAGGCAGCAGATTTGGCCAGGGGCAGTAAAGGATACTCACTGTGGAGACATCCTTAGATGAGTTGGTGATGAGTCCAGGCAGCAGGGCCACCCCACTCTCCATGATGGCACCATGGAAGAGTCCTTGGGACATTGGAGACACCACATGTGAGGACACACTAGTGCCACCTGCAGACACGCCAAAAATGGTGACTTGATCAGGGTTGCCTCCAAAGTGGGCGATATTCTGCTGGACCCAGCGTAGGGCGGCCACTTGGTCCAGGTAGCCCCAGTTGCCAGTGGCATGCTGGTCTCCAGTGCTGAGAAATGGAAAGGTTGATGGTCAATGGATGGTCCTCTGTCTACTCAGCCCTCATTGACCATCCCTATCCCAGACTCACCTGAAAAAGCCCAGAACTCCCAGGCGGTACTGGATACTGACCACCAGTACATTTTCAATGGCTGCCAGAATAGAACCATCACACATGGAAGCTGAGCCCACCATCAAGCCACCACCATGGATACAGACCATCACCTGGGAAATTAGGAGATATACCATGTGGTGGCCACCCTGCCAAACTCCATCCTGGCTGAAGCCCTACTCTAAACACCACTTTGGCTTATGTAGCTACCCACACAGAATGCTAGTAGGACCTCATGACCTAGGGCACTGGTGACAGAGTAAGTTCAATTTGGAGGATCACACCTCTCATACTTTTGGAGTCTAACCAGGAGGCAGAATGTGGATCTCTTCCTTTCAGAACTAGTATAAAAGGAAAAAAAATTGATGTTTCTGTGATTATCCCACTTGAACATTAATTTAAAGTGTCATCTAATATCTGGTCCCAAAAATAATCCATTGTCATGGAATTTAGTGATCTCAGAGTGTAGCATTTGTGCTCTTGAATGGATCTCCTGAGTACAAGCTGGGGAGTTGATCATTGGCTTAGAACACCTGGCCTCTGAGCGCATCCAGGGCTCTTTGACTCCATGCCTAGGTCAGATTCCTCCCTGCATAGGAGGCCTTCTTGGAGCTGATAGTGAGAAACTTTTCATGATAATTCACTCCACAGTGGTGGCCAGCTGGACCTGTGACTTCCAGTGTCATTGGTATTGTTATGTAGTACTTGGGGTCAATCCCAGGCCTTCACAGCATTGTGCTAGCTCTCTACCTTGAACCATGTCCCAAGCCCACTTCTAATGTTCTCCCCAAAAATGTTCTCCCACCCTTCAACTGACCATGACTTAACACTCACAGGCAGATTAGATTCCTCACGGGCATGTGCAGGCGCGAAGATGCTGAGGTACAGGCAGTCCTCTGACATGGGGATGGGAGGCCAGTTAATACCTTGTAGGTTCGGATTCTCTGTATTCATTATATCTGCATTTTGCAGACACCTGGTGACAATGGAATACAGTTACTCCAGGGGCTGAGCAGTGGTCAATTCAGACCTCAGGTCCTGACTCGATCCCAGAGAACTTCACTCCCTGCCTTAACTGATGCCTGGCCTCACATGATCCTTCTTTCAAGTGATTTCCCACTGAGTTCCAGGCCACAGGCTCTGGGGAAGCAGAGATGGATTCCAGACCCCCAGGGAGGCCTCAAGGTTGTTGAGAACTTGATTCCACCTCCTCTGAGGCTTGGCAATCCTGACTCTAGGGTCCTGTCAGGGAAACACTGGCTGTCTGTGTTGACAAATAACACTTATCCCTGTCCCCATTCAGGCCTGGAATAGCATACGTGTCCCCACACAGCTGGTGCCTGAGTGGATGGAGGTTAGTTCTCAATGAAGGGTAATGGGGCATCCCACAGCCCAACTTGAGGCTCTCAGAAAACCTCACCCCTCCACTGAGTCTCGAGCTTTAAGCACATGCCCCTTTCCCTTGGCCCTGTGGGTGGGGTCCCCAAGGAGCCAC